AATTATATATATATATATATATATATATATATATATATATATATATATATATAATCTGGATCTCAGTTTTTGAATTCCTAGTGTGAAAAAAACGTCCTAATGAAAATCAAGTTTGATGTGTCAGTTTTGAAAGTATTGATAGTTGTTGGGGTTTTTTGTTTTTTGTTTGGCATTAGAAAGTACTGGTTACTTTGAGCAAATAAAAGCTTTCTGTAGTTGCTTCCTTTAATTGTAGGATTGTTAGGGTTCGAGAATCGAGAACAATTCCCACAGATACCCAAAAGGATTATACAAAAGTTTATTTAAGAATTTAAAGAGGAAAAAAAAAAGACAATAACCAAATGGCGGCTAGCCGGGCACAGACTTTACGAGCCAAAGGTGGAGTCTGGCCCTGAACAACAGCAGGCAGGAGCTTTTACTGCGGCACTCCACAGAAACCCGCACACGCCAAGCATTTTTTAAAATAATTGGCTGTCCCCATATCCTGTGTATGGGGAAAGTCTTGATTGGTAGGGGCTATCTTCAGGGCATTGGAATGTGCTAACTAATATCTTTTAGAGTCAGAAGTTTTTGTGCATACCTTATAAGGCTTTTACATGTACAATATGCCTGAGCTTGTCTGGGCTTGTCGAAAGAAGCTAGCCAAAATGGAGTCAGGGCATTCTGGCTCTTCAGGATATTTGATGACATGCTGTATTTTCCTCCGCATTGAAGAACAGCTTTTTCTATAAATGTTGAGGAAAATTTCCAGCCATTACACAGTCAAAACTTATTTTTAACTGGGATACAAAAGGACCGTTCTGGTTTTGTTTGTATGTGTGTATATGCATAAAATACTTAACGTGACTCTTTTTTTTAATAGTTCACTGAAACAAAAACCATGGGTGATAACACACTTTGATGAGATTCCATCATTATGAACAACTGAAGAAGTCACTTTGGTTCAGCTGAAAATTTTCCTGAAGCCATAACCTTCCAAATTAAATAGGTGATTATATAGTTAGTGGACAGTTTAGGTTGGATAATTTTAAAAAGCAACTACATGAGAATTCATGTATATTGTCACATAAATGCAGTTTATTTTCAAAATTTGTTGCTACTAACCCAATTCTTACACTCAAAAAACTAGATAAATAGTTTGTTTTAATTAGCTAATAAGACTTAAATGGATCTGTGAAGTTTCCTCTAGTGAGACATTCCTTTTCAGTAAGTTGAAATCTGTACTAAAAAGTTACGATTCATAGAACATCTAAGCTCATGGAAATGTAATTATGGTTAGAGATGTTGACAATATTAGGACTGCTGACATGGATGAATGAAGAAAATTTGGTAATACAAATTACTGACCTGCATGCTTTTTCTTAACCCTGACTCATTCCTTACTGGTAGATTTAATCCTTTCAGTATTTGGGTTGCTGGTTCAACAGAAGCCAGGAAAATAACTTTGTAGTATCAGAATGTTATCCAACTGTATATTGTTTACTTTCTTGTAAATAATGGTGAACAGTGGTCAATAAATAGTTTAATATTCCTTTAAAAAAATTAACCAAAATCTTTCTTTTCACTCAAACTTTAATAAAAAAGCAATTCATCTTGTGCTAAAATGATCTAAGTTCTAGCAACTAAATGGTCTCAGTTCTAGCAATATATATATATATATATATATCATAAGCCAAATCTTTTACCATAGGACTATGAAGGAAAGGCAATCCACCAAGGAGAAGAGAGTAAGCCAGAGGTCTTGACTCCTATATCCTATGTCTGCCTCTTTGGTTCACATCTGGTTGAGCAAACACAAGTGCAGTCACCTATAGTCCAAGAAGCCTGCAGCTGATGATGCAATTACCTTTCAATATATATATATATCATAAGCCAAATCTTTTACCATAGGACTATGAAGGAAAGGCAATCCACCAAGGAGAAGAGAGTAAGCCAGAGGTCTTGACTCCTATATCCTATGTCTGCCTCTTTGGTTCACATCTGGTTGAGCAAACACAAGTGCAGTCACCTATAGTCCAAGAAGCCTGCAGCTGATGATGCAATTACCTTTCATTTAATGCAGCAGCCCCCACATTCCCAGTACCTTCTTAAATTCTAACTACATGACTTCTTACTGTCATAGTAAACAGAGGAAAGGAAAGCTCTCTAGCTCCCCAAATTTAACAGTTTAATTAGCAGTATAAAGACAAAAAGCCTACATTCAACATACCCTGTTCAGAGCGGCTAGAACCAGTTTGTGAATATCATTCCTGAAACATTGCTTTTTAACCATGTTCAGCTTGCATTGGAATTCAGCCTTTGATTCTTCTGGTAGTCCTAAGTGAAAAACAAATAGTAATAAATACATTCAAACTATCTTCAGACACACTTATGCTGAACAAGCTGCAGTTTGTTAAGCGATATCATAATTTGGGCTGGCTAGGTTCCTGCTCATAGAACTTTCTCTCTTCATAAAATGTATTAGTATCTCATCTGCATTTTCGGTGACTATGACTACATGAAGTCCCAAAGCTGCTCACTGCCCCACAGGCAGGCACGACCACTCACAGCGAGCCAGCTGAGCAGCGGTACAACCTGCTGGCCACAAGTAATAAGTTTCCATCAACATCTTCCTTGGACTATGCCCGCATGAACACTCCTAAACTTTCACTTCTGGTCTTTGTTCTATCACATCAGTTCCTGATGCTCAGATGGCTATAATTTCCTTTCTATGTAAAAGTCCTTCTGGTCGTGTGCACTGCAAAATATTTAAGGGCAGGTCCATAACCTCGTCTCCCTAGATCTCAAGGGATCTGAGCACAGTGCTGCAATGTAAAGGGTGTTTGGGAGACAGAATTTCACTGACGTGGCAGTCAGTCTGCATCAACTGAAATCTTCAAACATGTTGTATCTGTGTACCTTAGTTCATCTCTGTGTAACGTAAAGAAGAATGATGAGATGCATGGAGTAGACAGATGGTTAAACCTGCCTAATAGAGAAATGTACATATATACTAGTATGTATATAAAATGTGTCTATTAATATGTACATACATACAGTGTAGCCTTAAAGTAATTACTTTTAAAAGCATCCATAATCATCTAAATGTCTAAATGATGACTAACAATGGTGCTTCTGGGTCAATTTACAATCAATAAAAGAGAAAATGTATATTCAAACCTTGTTTTGCTTTTGTTTGTTTGCTTGCTTGCTTTGAGACAGGGACTCCCCATAGCCCCAGCTGGCCAGGAATTCATATATAAACCAGGCTGGGATTAAAGGTGTGTACCACCACGCCCAGCCATCAAAGCTTGTTTGGGGACCTCGAATATTATTGCATTAACTGACAACTAGTGGTTCTGAATGACTCTACTGCTCTTTAAAAGTCCCATTCAACCTCAGAGAAATAAACTGGCACTGAGGACCACCCAAAGGGAATTAGCTGATGGTGATGAATGGACACCAAGATTCAGCCTAAAACATGCTGACTGATAGCTGTTTTTATTCAAAGTACCAGGAGATTAAAAAAAAAAAAAAAAGACTGAACAAAGCTATCCTTGCAGACACACTCTTAAAATGGATATCCTCTAAAATTTGGAAATCTAAGACACCTATAATACTTGATATTTGATTTAGTATTATCCCTTTCATTTAGAAGTCATGATGTTCTCTCAAACTGATGTCCTGTTTACTCTCAAATTCATACTTTCTGCTTCTACCATCCCCCTCCCCAAGTCTCAACTGACTACCATCGACCTCTAACCCAACTTTTCTATGACTAGTCTCCCTGCCAATCACCCTCTACAATACTGCTATTGCTATCAATTGCAAATATAGTCACAGCACTACAAGGTAGTGATACAAATTGTAGTGTGTATTATTAAGCATAGTTTATAGAGTTCCAAAACTCGCTCAGCTTCTTGCTTAACATCAGAGTTGTATGGAAAAAGTTCTTGACATGCATTAAAGTAGATGTAATTTTAGGCTTATAAAAACAAAAATTTAAACATAAGCCATTCAGAAGTCTAATATGTTTAAAAATTCATGTGATATATAAAACCAAAACTGAAAAATGTATGCATGTGTGTATGAGTATATTTAAAAGCTATGAGCTAATCTGACTCAAATTTATATGTCTCACTTTTACTTTAAAAAGTACACATAACTGAATTGAAAGAAAATGGATAGATTAAAACGGTACTAAATACGTCCTCCATTTCTTAGAAATAGTGTGTTCTAAATATTAATTGCGCATTTAATTCTACAACTTCTACTTTCGTCCCAAAACACTTCGGAAACATGCAGAACGCCTGAGAGGTGATCCTGGCCTCTGCACTCGACCTTCAGGATCAGGTATCAAGACTCTGACCTACCTACTCTTTGGAATCCATTAGCTGCGCCTCCATCAGCACCAGAATCCTTTCCCTTTGTCCACAATGGGCCCTGGGTTGTGTGGTAATTAACTATTAAGCTGTCTACTGTGCTACAGTCCTGCTTCCTTTTCACCTGGCAATCACCTTACAAAAGCTTCACAATGTTCAGAACAGGAAGCGCACAATAAATATGTGCTGAAAGAATTGAAGGGCAAACAAGGTAACAGCTTGTGAAAATGAGATAAAGGTGGTGAAGGGAGGAAGTCCTTGACATTGTAGACTAAGGGCCACCTGGCTCTGTCAGAAAAGCTAGTTTAACCTCAGAGGAAAAGGATACAAGCAGAGCAGTGGAGTTCACTCTGAACTTGAATTTGGATAATTGCAACAGAAACATCTGAAATGAACTCTCCTTACAGATGAAAGCCCCACTTTGAACACTGTGTTTATTTCTTAAGTAAATAAAGTATTGAATATTCTCACAAAGTTTTCTTATGTCGTCCTTTATCATGAACTTTATCTTTTGTTTTTCAGCAAGGTTTTGACAGCCTCCCATGTGGCTGTCAGAAGCTGGTTCTTTAAAGCTTTGTGTAGAATGTTGATGTTTCACAAAGCCGATCCCCATTTAAACGGCTGTCTCCATTTAACCATGACTCACCTGTCACCACAAAGTGTACAATGGCCCTCAGTGCCTCCAGTTGCACCGGCAGTGAGGTTTCATGGCTTTTCATCACTGTTATTATTTTGGGGAGCACTACTGCCATTGTGTCCAGGGTAGTGCTACTAGAGATAAAAACGGACACCGTTATTAAAAAACACAACCTTCAGAACGGGGGCAAGAAAGAAGATGAATACATCTCTCAACTCTCACCAGTGATGCTTCCTCACACAGCAGATGGTGATTAACCCAGAAAATCACAACCAGCCAAACTTCAGAGAAAAGGAGACTGTAGAGAACTTTTCCCTGAATAGGACACCTATATCAAAACTGCTGCCCAAGGCTCAGGGACTAGCAGAGAAAAGGGGGCAGAAAGATTGTAAGAGCCAGAAGTGGTGGGTGACCACAAGTAAATGGTTTTCCAGACCGCTGGGAAGTTACTCTTATGAACTCACAGCAATGCTGACAGCACAGCCAAGACACATACAAGTCCCAGCCAGACAAAATCCCAGCATAGAACTGGGGAAGGGGGAAGAAGCCCCAACTTTAGCTGAGGAATTATTGGCAACCGGCAACTACTGGGAGAGGGAGAGTTGGTTTTCTTTACGGGAATGACTCTAAATAGGTTAACCAGGCTCCAGAGGATGGACTCACACCAAAGGACGTTAGGGGACACAAACTTGGCATGATAGGCCTTAACATATATGACAGAGTACATGAAATCAGGTGGGAGGGCTATAAGAGTGGGAGGGGTCTAAATGTGATCAAAATACATTGTATAAAATTTGCAAAATTTCAATTAAAATGTTTTTTTTTTAATGTTAAACTCTGAAACAAGAGGTCTTAGCTCTCTTGAAAAATAGGCTGCTAAAAGTCTGGGCAAAAATTCTATTTGACACTTCTAACTTGAATTTATTTGCTTATCCTTAAATTGCAGAGAAATATTTTGAATTCTGGTTATTACTTTAAAGAAATTCTGATTGTACTATAATTTCTAAATTGACTTCATTTTGATGGAGTTTATATCTTATTTAAAACCAACTCCCCTTTACCTTGAAAATTATGAAGTGCCCAATGAATGTTTACCAAAGGTTGCCAGGGTGAGGTAAGCCTTTTAATGATACTTAGCTTTACCCTTCCATTAGTCGATATAGTCATAATTTAAAAGACAGCCCCGTTGGGCTTCATTGTCTTCTGTTGTGTAGGTTTTATTTTGTGTTTATTGCTTTGGGTCAAACACAGAGCATTATCCATGTGCAAAGCATACTGAAAAGAAATATTTTCATTTTTCTACTTTAACCACATACTGTTTAATACCAAAGTATATGTATTTATATTTTAAACTATATATAATCAAGTAAAAGATACAATAAAGTTTCTAAAACACTTGCATATCTTATTTATAAATTGAAAAACTGAAATTTGTTCTTTCAAGTTACTTTAATGAACACAAAACTTTCCTTTAAAAACTACTTCTTTTTTGAGTTTCATTTTCACTTTGAAAGACGTTATTTTCCAGATACATTTGAGAAGACATAATTTAATCCCAGCACTCAGGAGGCAGAGGCAAGCAAATCTCTGAGTTCAAGGCCAGCCTGGTTTATATAGTGAATTCCAGGCCAACTAGGGCTACAGAGAGACCCTGTCTCAAAAAAAAAGACCAAAAAAATAAAAATAAAAAAATAATAAAAATTTAGTGCAGACTGCCGTGTTCTCTAGCAGAGATCCAATGAACACATTCCTTCGTTACTCTATCACTTCTCTACATATACTCTTCTGTATATATGTTTAATTCATGAGAATGTGACTCTAATTACATATTCGATAAAGAAAAGAAGCATTTTATAACAAAAAATATAACCCGGTATAGTTGTACAACACCAACTTGAAACAAATGTGGGAAAACAGAGTCAATGTATTTCACCAAAAAAAGGTTAGACATGCATTTGAACTCAGTCAAAATCTCAGTCATTTAAAGCCTGACCTCAAGGACCGGAGTCACAGTAGCTCGGGAGTCTTTTGATTTAGTTCTATGACAATAAATCCTCCTTTGACCTGCATATGGGTTACTGGCAACAACCCTGAAAAGGTGAGGGTTTCCCCTATTTTCCAGCTTGTTGGTTGAGGAGTATCAAAGTCCTTTAACTCTAAAGGAGAAAAGCCAAGGCTAGTACCCAAACTTGTTCAGCCCCAAGACAAGGACCCCTTACATTATATCAAGTTGTTTCCTCCAGATTAACATCACAAGACTTCTTATATGATATTCTTCAATAGTTTTAGTTTATGTTAAAGTCTTGGTTTCTCTAAGACGTTTATGATAGACTTCCTTTACAAACGAATAAATGCCACTTGCCTAGTGATAGAATGTGTGAATTGCAGAAGAGCCACAAGCCTCATTAGAAAAGCAATATAACGATAAATCCCTTAAAGTATCTAAGTGGCCCTAAATTGGCAGCCTGGCCTTGCTCAAGTCTTATCAACTGGTCACTCCCTGGACTGAGAGAGACTGTTTGTGGAGCCAACCTGTCTCCTTTAATGCTATAGATAACTCACCCACCTGCCTGAGCAAATAATCTTCAGAAGAGACGTCAAGGACACCAGACCCTGGCATAGCATTAACTCTTGCAGCTGTGTACAGCAGAGTTCTTATATAAGTCCAGACTGCTCCCTCATCAGCGCGCAGATAATCATTCCTCGAGGAAGAGCTGGAACAGCTATCAGCCCTTTGCTGGGCTTCCTGAATCCAGGGCCACATTCCTTGCCTGTGGCAGGTCTGGCTCTGACCCTTATTTCTAAACTTTAAACGCCTTCCTTTTTCTGCCCTCCTAAATCTAACACCTAAATTTCTTAGAATAGACTTCATTGTGGCTGTGCTTGCTTCACCCAGTGCCTGGTTAACTGAAATTTGCTCATACGCTTTCAGAGCCATCAAAATCAACACTTAAGATAATATTTTATTCAGTCGTTCAAAAGCAACATTTTAAAAAGAGACATGTGGGAACTAGAGAGATGTCTCATTGGCTAAGAGCACGGGCTGCTCTTGTAGAGGACCCAGGTTCAATTACCAGCACCCACATGGCAGTTAACGACCAGCTACAACTCCAGTTCCAGGGGATCTGATGCCCCCTTCTGTCATCTGCAGACACTGCACAACACAGATGCACTTACATACATGCAGCAAAACACTCATATACATAAAATAAATTCAAAAACATTTTTAAAGAGAAATCTGACAGAGAATGCTATGTAAGAATAGATTAGGCCAGGTGCGGTGACGTACGCCTTTAGTCCCAGCACTCAGTAGGCAGGTGTGAGTTTGAGGCCAGCCAAGTCTACGTGGAGAGATAGAGAGTTCCACCAGTTCCATCTGGTGCTACAGGGAGACCCTGTCTCCAAAAAATGCTGGACATGATGGCACCTAGTGCTTAAAAAAATAGATTAGCTAGACCCATGTTAAAATGGTGTAACTCTGTTCTTTATAAAATCGTACATGTGCTGTACACAATTTATGTGTTATTCACATATAATAACACTATTGCTAACAGCTATGAGTTATTGGGTCCTTAAAATGTACGAGGCATTATCCGAATCCCTTTATAAAATGGATTTATTAAATCCTTGTGTTTTAAACTAATATCTTCTTAAGTCATTACTTGATCCCTTTTTATTGAAGCAAATTCTGAAATTTAACCACCAGATGGTCCAAATTAGCAATGAAATCAATACAGCAAATAGCCAGACCACTGAAGGACTCCTTAGGACCATCTCCCGTGACACCTCTTTCCTTTGATATTTACTCAGACAACGCCACAGCTGCCTTACATTTCTTTTTCCTTAATAAAATGAAAAGAGATGCTAAGCATTTACTACTGTAGGCATCTCCCGCATGCAGGTCAGTTTCCATCTCCCAGTAGGGGTTGTAAGCCACTAGTGCGCTCCTATTATTTCTGCCACAGATAATGAGATCTGGTCTCTGTTAAGTCACCGACCAGTTGCACAGTCTTACGGTGGCTGGCCGTGAACTTGGTGTGGCAAAAATGCAAAAAGCTTCACTAGATGAGAAGACGCCAAAGTTAATTCAAACGGAAGGATAGCACTCGATAATATATTAGCTCTGAAAAGCAACAATGACAAAATGCATGTTTTTTATAGTTTTCTGTATTTCATGTTTATACGAGGATTTGAAAAGCTGTTGTAAGTTTTGCTGCACAATCATTTTTTTTCAAAACAGCACCGAACATGAAGCACAAAAGTTAACGTTCACCATGGTTTTGTGGTACCTGCCATTCCTTTAATGACTGGATCAAGTAAGCTGATAAAAGCACTGACATGCCAAACAGGTTCTGTCTTCAGATGTCAGTTCATCTTCCCCTTCTTAGACATACTTAGACTAGTACCCTGCCTGGTTCAAGACCCCATTTCTGAGTCAGCTCATAAACGTGCAGTACCTTCCTTCAAACAAATGACTCAGCATTCTACAGCCACTCTCCGCCACCTCAGGAGAATTCCCGTGTTTCTGCATCAGCTCCAAGACATTCAGGTATATGCCTTTTGACAGCAGGATTTTCCTGAAATTAACTACAAGGAATTTTTATGAGTACATATAGAAATTAAAGCACATTTTCAAGATTTTTCAGTGAAATGTGAGATGCTACGACAGTTCATATTCCCAGTGAAACATGCAAGAGCACTTAGAACTTAGATTTCTTTAGAAGCTTAAAGATCATTAATAGCTATTTCTTGCAAATATATGTCACTCTCTTTTCCATACTTATTCTTTGTTAACAGTTCCATTTTAGCATTTTTATTTAGAGTGTCGACTGATATTAATGTAATATCCATATCCTAGTTCACAAGAAAGGAGAGTTTTGAAGAAAAAAAAAGGTACTTAAATAACGCTCTTCAGAATTAGAAGGAAAAGTCAATGTCCTTCTAATATTCGAAACAGCTTCACAAAATAACCAGACTTATAGGTCTAAGTTCACCACCAAGTGTGCTAGACACCACTGAATGGTCAGGAACTATAGTGTATGGAGGCCCCAGCTGTCCTGTCCTCTCCAATGAGGATCAAGGTCTGGGCTGTGGGGCTCTTGGGCTAGTCAGGGCTACTCTGAGCTACATATCTCCCACAGTGGATTGCACATGTTGTTTTCACAGATGCCATCAAGTGCACAGTGGCAGACATCACTGATCATACTGATGATTTTCACAAAATAAGTCCCAAGCTTAATGAACACACAGATATTCTTGAGACCTGGATTTACACTATGTCTAGAAAAAACACTATACCCCAGAAATAATGACTATGTAATGATTTTCTTCTTTGCAGTAAATCTTCACTAAATACAAAATCACTGCCTTGAGCTTTTCTTGCAATAACTGTCTTGAAGTCTTCACATAAATACCAATTCCAACATTCCAGACCATATTTTTTTCAAAAGGAAACTTATGAAGTTTTAACTTGAGTTCTAGTTTTAAAAAGTGCTGTCAGCCAGGCATGGTGCAATCCTGTAATCCTACCACTTGGGGGGCTGAGGGAGAAGGATCAAGAATTTGAGGACAGGGCTAGAGAGCTGGCACAGGCTTACAGTCAAAAAGAATTTGAGGACAGCCTGGGCTATACAGTGAGATCCTATCTCAAAAAACAAAACAAAAAATGTGTGTGTGTGTGTGTGTGTGTGTCTGTGTGTGTGTGTGTCTGTGTCTGTGTGTTGTCAATCTCAAGAAGAAAAAAGAAGACAAAACATAAAAATAAACACGTTCTAAAATAAAAATAAAACCAAAACCTAAAAAGTCAGACCTTCTGGAAGTATCCAGAACACTGCACATCAGGATATGATATGAGCTGCCATACTCCTCTGAAGTGGCTGCATCTTAACCAAGGAGATACTTTAAAAGATAAGCCCCCCAGGGGCTAGAGAGATGTTTCAGTGGTTAAGAGCACTGGCTGCTCTTGCAGAGGACCCAGGTTCAGTTCCCAGCACCCACATGGGGCTAATGATCATCTGCAATTCCAGTTCCAATGGATCTGATAGACCATTCTGGCTTCCACTGGTATGCCACACACATGGTACACTTACACACTTGGAGGCAGAATGCTTATACACATGAAATAAATATAAATAAATAGTTAAGCACCCCTCTAGGCCAGCAGTTCTCAAACATCAGTATATATCACAGTCCCTGGAAGGCTTGTTCAGATGCAGATTGTTGGGTATGGGCTCCAGAGCTTATGTTTGGTTGATCTGTGTGCAGCCCTAGAATTTACATTTTTCAAGTTTCTCTGCAATATTGCAGGCCCTGTGAGCACACTTTAAGAACCACTACCCCCACAGCAGTGCAGTGTGTGACTCAAAATGGAAAACTCGATCTGGGAGGACATTTACTATGAAGTCACTTCAGAGTTTACATGTTGCCTCCTTTACCTTTGTGATCATATTGTCCTTACCCACTCTATTGAGCAGAAAACTGTTAAAGCCAAATAACAAGATGCAGCTCCTATAAGGCAATAACCCACTTGTTACCTTCCTTATGGACTGCCCATTCAAATTGTACTTCCTCTGGCTCCTAACATCAGATCCTCCTTCCCTGCTTAATATTTTCTTAGCAACCTCACACGTCACATCCTCCACATATTCCTAAGTGGCTAGGAGTTGCAGCCCACCATGTCGCTGCTCCCGGGCAGCGAGCTTCGTCTCCTCTGAGCAGCTGCCCAGGGCACAGTGCCTGCACAGTGATCCTGCCCAGGCCTATTTGCTACACAGGGAACTACAGGAGACCCCCTGCTGACTTGTCTCTGGGAGCAGCCCAGTCTGTGTCTCCAGGCCAGACCACTCCAAGCCTTTATAGAAATGTGCCAAATTCTTTTTTTCGTTGTTTTTTGTTTGTTTGTTTTGTTGTTGTTATTGTTAATGGTTTTGGTTTTACTTTTGAGACAGGGTCTCCCTGTAGCCCAAGCTAGCCTGGAACTCACTATGTAGACCACGCTGGCCTCGAACTCACAGAGATACTCATGCCTCTGCTTCCCAAGTACTGGGATTAAAAGTGTGTGTCACCATGCCTGGCCCAAATTAATTTTTTAAAAAAATTTGTTCTTTGAGAAGTTCGTAAATGTAAATAATGCATTGGATTAAAGAGTCACCAGAGAGATGGGTGGGAAAGGAGGGCAGGGAGGTGAAGTCGTTTACACTTGACAGTCCACATAATACCACAGAGCAGCCTGTGGACAGTTCATGCCTTCCTTTCTTCCTGGCTTCTCTATGAAAAGCTGGTGCTTACACTGTGCATCTCAGATTAATCTTTCAGGTTTTTTCTATTTTTCTCCCTCTAAAAATGTCCTATGAGAGCTGCCAAGTCCTGTTGTCTTAGGGTGAGTTTTCCCCTCAGGGCTTCCAGGCTGTATTTCCTGTTTACAGGGCCAGGGATCTCAAGTACAACCAGGACATTACACCTCAGGGGTGCTTCCAAAGGTACATGAAGCATTTCTCTTCTTAATTACATGAAGCTATCATGGTCACAAGGATCACATGTAAAATATCATTTCCCAGAAAAATGATAGTATAAAAATTTGATACTGGACAATTTAGCAGATTTAAAAACAAGGGATATCTCACCATCCAGTCACACTTCTAAAAGATCCCTTAAGAAGATAACAGGAATAAACATCTAGAGGAAAATAGGAGGAAAAAGCAATCCCTTTGTTACAGGTTCCAAAAATCTCCCAGTGGACAAAAAACTGAAAGTATGTACTGACAGAGGCTGGGTCACAAAAACAGGCTACCGTCATACACTGGGAAACAACACAGCTACTAAAAAAGAAACACAAAATGTAGTCGTAAATGGATATAATATTTTCCAAATTCTGCAAAATTCTGCATCATAGTGAGTGTGTATATAGGAGTTCAGAAAAACATTTAAATGTTTATTTTATTTCTTATCTCTTATGCACCCACATACCCATTTCAGCTAGATGTATCTATATACTTGAATATATAGTTTTTATAAGAAAACATACCACAAAACTGTTTGTCTACATTAAAACCATAGTAACCCCCTTACCATTTTGTTCCAAGAGTATGGATAGTGCATTGGCGGATGCTTGGAAGACGTCTTTGGACGAGGAGTGCATCAGCATAGACAGCATCACTTCCCTGTGCACTGGGAGCCTTCAAAAAGTCAACCACAGTCTCAGTGGGATTGGTAATGCTTCCTCCAGTTCTCTGCCTATGAATTCTAACAGGTGCGTGTGTGTAAACAGAATCGTAGGCTGCTCCCCCCCCCCTCACAACAGCAATGTATAGGTTAAACAACTTTCTATTTAAAAGTTAGACTCAAATATATCAAATGCTAACATTTCTCTGTTTCTTCAGAAGCAACTAGGCAGTAGAGAGGAAACATGGCTCCATAGACATTTAAAGAGTCCACACAGCCATGAGCTACTGTGGTGGGAACCACACGCATGAACACATAGAACAGAGATGAGTTACATCCCAGGTGGGATGGGTCAAATCGTACAGGATTCCCTAATGCTGCTCAGAGTAGGCACAATGTAAATGTATGTACTGATCACTTCCAAAATTTTCATTCGTGTTGTGGGACCACATTTTACTGCAAGTTAATGAAACTTCACAAAGTATGCTGAGGGAATGCTGCAGGCTATTAAAGCAAACCATGGTTTATGAATGCCTTACGAATGCATATAGTTTTCAATCAGAAAGAAAATAATCAAAAGATATAGTAAAGGGAGCATCAATCATAAAGACAGGAAGGAACTGAAAAGGGAACTATAAATAAGGCAGAAAGCAGTATTTTAAAAGAACGAAGTATAAGAAGAAGAATACAAAACAAATGAGTGAAGGAGGAAAACAGAATTAGAAAGGGGGACTAAGTCACTGTCACAAGCAGAGTGGATTTTAGAGGTGTCGAAAATAAACGGTGTTTTCCTCCAAATAATATATCTATTGGAAAGGTCTCCTGTGAATATTGAGTGTGTTGTGAATGAAAAATTTTAAGTTGCAGTCTGAATCTGTCTTACCCTCAGCTCCTGGAAAAGACTACTTGCTTGAGAATTATTTGGATGCTGGTTTAACAATAGTTTTCAGATAGTTAATATATTTTTTTTAAACAGAGGCATTTACTTTTTAAGTTTTTAAAAAGTTTATATGTATGAGTGAATTGCCTCTATGTGTATTAGCGCACCCATGTCATGCAGTGCCTGCAGAGAACAGAGGAGGGCGTCAGATCCCCTGGAACTGGACGGCTGTTAGCCGTCATGTGAGTGTCAGGATTCTAACCTGGGTCTTCTGCAAAAGCAGCTAGTGTTCTTAACTGCTGGGCCACCTCTCCAGCCCCAGAAGAAATGCTTGATTAAGGAGAATCTGTTTTGGAAATGCTTAATTAAGGAGAATCTGCAGTAGGTCATTATGGGATCCACCTCTCAAGAAAAGACAGGTTGATACTGCCACACCAAGAGGGACCTGCCAGAGGAGGCTTCTAAGCAGACACAACCTGTTAGCTGATGGCACAGGGGAGTCCCACGTGGCCCTGTGAGTGCTTTCAGTGAGATGAACTAACATGTGTTTCTACTTGATCAGCCAGGATTGTTCTCCATGAGTCACAAATTACTGAATAATTCTTATTCCAAATCCCTCCACAGAAACTTAAACACACCACTTTGTCTGCTTAGGAAGACAATGAAGTCAAAATGCTGCACACCCAGCCAGGCATGGAAGAACAGGCCTGTGACCCCAGCATGGACTATATACCCTCTACTACTAAGCAGCAATAGTACCCTCTACTACTGTGGAGCAAGTCTAAGATGCCTACTTGAGAAAGTTTACATTCGTTGATGAAAAAGAAGTGAAATTTTCTATAGTATCAAACAAATTACTGACTGGCCATCTTCGTCTCCAATCTTCCTGTGTAAACCGTTCTGGTACATAAGGAGATTATTCAGCGCCCAGCATGCAGCCTCCTAGATCAGGAAGGAAAAAGAAAAACACCAAAATACAAATGATTAGAAAAGCTGATTTTGAAGCAGTGTGGGAAAGGCTCATTTTGACTCGTGGGCAGGGTTTGAGTCCAACCTGCACGTGCTTGTTCTTGCGATGCTGGGTGAGGGCTCTGTAGCACGCTTCCAGCCAGAACAGCTTCTCCTCTTCCTCTTCATCACTGTGATCCTGATTTTCATTCCTTTCCTCCAAGTCTTGGTTTAAAAAAATGGTCTCAGCTTGAAAAATTAAAACATACATATTTATACATATGTGTGTATGTTTATTTGTCTTTTATATGCATGTAATTTATTGACAGATTGAATGACCCAGTCTAAGTGCAAAGTTGGAAATGGTCTCCATAGAATGAGTTGCTCTGGACTAACTGCCTTGGTTAATCATAAAGCGATCTTTAATATCTTACACACCTCATAATTCTGCCATCCCACACATGAAGAATAGAGTGAGAAAGAGGGTACCCACAGCCCAGCAGACTAGAGTGTGATCATCTAAAGTGAGCGGCTGGCCCATGGCATCCGTGTGAAAGGGGATGCCCACACTTGTGCCAGGAGAGGAGTCTCCCTGGGAGATGAATTTACTAGGACAGAGGAGGCATTCAAAGCTGCCTTCAGGACATGAGATCTTGTTAACATTAGCATTCAGCATTAAAGGCACCTGTAAGAATTCCTTCTTTAGGACTAAAGATGAGCTCAGTGACAGAGCTGGGAAGCTAGGAAGGAGGCCTGGGATTCCATAGCCAGCACTTAAACAAGAGGGAAGTGTTTCCTTCTTAGTAAAGTGACTTACTGAGGAGCGCTAGGCAGCTCAGCCCGGATATTTGTAGTGACGGGTTCTCTGGATATTGCCGCACAGCTTTCACCACAAAATCATGCACCTCATTTAACACCAGGATGTTGAAAAAATTACCTAAAGTTAAGGAGGAAATTGGCTAAATTATCATTCATGGAACTTGAATTGTGTTTAATTATGTAAAAACATTTAAATCAGTAAATCTATCTTTAAAAAATATTTTAGGTAGTCAAAAACTATCTTACTGTTTTTATTTTATGTGTACGAGTGCATTGCCTGCATGTGTGCAAGTGCACCCATGTCATGCATGCCAATGGATGTCAGAAGAGGGTGTTGGATCCTCTGGAACTGGAATTACAGATGGTTGTTAGCCGCCATGTGGGTGGGTGCTGGGAACTGAACCAGGTCCTCTGTAAGAGCAGTCAGTGCTCTTAACTGCTGGGTCATCTCTCCAGCCCCAGTAAATCTATCTTTCGGAAATGAATCTACTTTGGAAACCATGAAAGCAGTATGCAAACATGCTTCCGTAAGTCTATCTTATAGATTAATCCTATAATAAAATTAAAGAAATGGTTATTAAGGAAAGAAATCAACTGAAGCGCTGCATATAAAATATAATTCCATTTTCAGACAGTCATTTAAACTGAATCTATTGAGGAATTCTAAAGTTAAACCAATTTCCAAATTGTATAGGGTATCTAATCATGACTTGCTATAACACAATTATAAAGTTAAGGTTCTGCAAACGGATGAATGAAGATCTTTCTCAAAGTTGAAATGATGAAAAGCTAAAAGCATATTATAAGAATCCTAATTTGGCCCAAAATATTGCTGGCAATTCTTTAGGAGGAATGTCATCAAAATCGATTTCCAATAGTTAGAACTGCTTTGTTATTTACTAGAAACTTGCTTTTAAATGCCTTATTCTGCTAATGAGAACACTAAGAAAATCTCCAAGATATGTATCTTTTAGATGGGCTGACAGATGGGTCGAGGCAAAGAGTTTAACAGGGAGTTGAAAGACAGGCTGAGCAAGCATGCATAGCATGTGGGAAAGCCTGGCGTCTCCTCTACAGTGGTCGCCACTCTCTCCACAGCTGGGGGCTCAGTCCATGTTTCCCACATAAAATGGGTCATGACATAACGACATGCCCCCAGCACTCCTTTGCTCTGGCTCCTGGTAAATGTCTCTGGAAAGGAACCTGAAATTTAGGGTTTCAGAATGCTCAGATCTTGAGCTGAACCAAAGAGAAACTCACAAAAATACCAGCAAATCAGTCTCCAGGACGGACCTGTCCTAAGAGAGGTTAGATTTCCAGATTCAGAATTCAAAACACCTGTATTAATAACTAAACAAATAAAGCATCTCTTAAATAAATAAGGGGATGAAAGAAAAAAACAAAATCAAACAAAAGACAACCAAGTTACCTGACAGATCTGACAATAAAAACAATTTTATAAATATATCTTAAAAATTAAATAAACAACCAAGTTAAATTTGTCCCAGGAACAAAAGTTGGCTTAGTATTAGAAAATATGTAGACTTAGTTCCACAATATCAAAAGAAAAGGAGAAAATCTTCATATCTTTTGTTTGGTATTTAATAAAATTCAGTGCTCAACAGTGATCTATTTTTCTTTAAAAGAAAGCCCACACAGCTGGGCGTGGTGGCACACGCCTTTAATCCCAGCACCAGAGAAGGAGAGGCTGATGGATCTCTGGGAGATCCAGGCCAGTTTGGACTGCATAACTAGTTCCAGACCAGCTGAGGCTGCAGGGAGACGCTGTCTCCAAAAGGGGGGGGGGAGGAGAGAGAGAGAGAGAGAGAGAGAGAGAGAGAGAGAGAGAGAGAGATCCCATGTAAAAATATAAATACAGTAAAAAATTTTAGCTTGGTAAAAGATGTCATAAAAGGAAGCTACATTTTAACACCATAAATATCTTGCAACAAGCGTTATTTGGGCTGAAAGACTATTAGAACTTTCATCTTTAAAATCAAGAACAAGGCAAAGATAGAGATAATTGTTGCCATACTTTAGCATTGTGCTAACAATTCTGGGTCCCCCAAGAAGACAGGTAACAGAACAACAAACATAATGAGTAAAAGGGATGAACTCAGCTGTTGTTCACAAACCATTAACTTATATAATCTGCATGTATTTCCAAACAAGTTGTCAGAGGAAATAAAAAAGTTAGAAAGACAGACAAAATCAGTAGTCTTTTTTATTTCTTCACACAGACAGAGTTCGAAAATATAATTTCAAAACAACTGTCATTTACAACAGTAACAAAATAAGCTACCTAAAAAATATGTAGGACCTGTGCAGAAGCAATGTGTATGGAGATGGCAGTTCTTCATGAACTGATTTATGTATTTTGTGCAGTTTCTGTAATAATTCCATCCCATTTTTAAATGAAACAAGTCCATTCTAAAATGTGTACAGAATAATAATGAACCAATGAAAGCTGAGATATAAGATATCAGAAGAAGGTGTGGGCACTTGGCTACCAGTGTTCCCTATATCAGATCTTACAGAACAATAGTAATTTAAACCATAAAATACTGATCCAAAGAAATCAAACTGACCAATGAAACAGAAAAGCAAAACTTACATATATATATGTATGTATATACATAGTCAGCAAGTCACACCACTAGGCTAAACTGTGCTGGGATAGTAATTAGTTCTTTAAACTGAAAAAAAAAATGGGGGTAAATATGCTTATTACCTTAGAGAAAGGAGAGATTTCTTAAACCCACACAAAGCGATCAATTATTCAATTTGAATATATCACAAAAGTCAACTTAAGGAGGATGGAAGAATAGACCATAAATCAGAGAGCACTTTTCAATCTGTACAGCTGACCACTTAAACATAATTTCAACCCATGAATCAATTTTTAAAAGATATCTATTCCCTAAGGAAAATACATAAAACATAATTGTGTACTTCACAAAGAAATACTTTTAAAAAATCGCCCTTTTTCTTTCAAAGCGACACAGATGGGTTGGAACACACAACGCAAGCCAAGTGCAAACGAAGAGAACAGATCAATAACTGTGGTATGCAACAAATAAGATACTATCTGCAACCACGGGCCAAAATATTTACACTTTTTGTTTTAATTTTATTTATTTTTTTATTTTATCTTATGTGTATGCACGGATTGCCTGCATGTATGTTAAGTGCACCTGTGCTGCGCAATGCCTGCAGAGAGGCTGTCGGATCCCCTGGAACTGGAGTTATAGACAGTTGTTAGCTGTCATGTGGGTGCTGGGATTCGAAGCCGGGTCTTCTGCAAGAACAACCAGTGTTCAGAAGCTCTGAGCCATCTCTCCAGGCCCAATATTTACATAAACATGGTGAATTTTTCTCAAATTGAAGAAGATCTCATGTGCTATGATCTTATTTTGGTGAAAAAAAAAAAATAAGAAGCAACCAACCAATCACACATCACCAGTTTTGCTTAGGGAAACTTGCAAATGCCATGAAAGTAAAATCAAAAAGCAAAAGATTAAAACAAATCACATTCTGGGGAGTATTAGCTTTTATAGAGAAAACCAGAACAGGGAGAAACTCCATCGAGTGCCACATTTTCTTTATCAACGTCCACTGATGGGCTCCTGCACTGATCCATACTGTGGCCTCCATGACTAGTGCCACAAGCACGGGTAAGCGGGCCCTCTACAGGGAGCTGGTTTGATCCTTGGCATATATAGTTAGAAGCAGTACAGACTCATCATATGTCAGTAACATGTTTTAACTTTTAGAGGACGTAAAATTCTTTGTACCCCTGGTAATGTTTCAGTTCGTAAGTTGGATGGTGAGAGGTGTGTCTGCTTTCTGCTTCATATTTTAATGTAAATTACACTCACTCTTTTGTATTCCAAGTACAGCCCTAACAATAAAGTATTCCTAGAGGTCACCTCAAAAGCTAAAATTCAGACTCTCATTCATTCCATGAGCCTATTTTTTCACTCCTTTTTAAATTCCAGCTAAGCATGGCATAACCATTTGCTACTTTACAATATTTCCATTCAATATATGCAATATGCTACTTACCAATATAGATTCCAAGTAGCTGTATATACTTATATAGATTGCGATAAGAGGCTAAAAATAATAACTCACCTAATGTGAGCCTGTGGAGCAGGCAGCAGCTCACATGTTGAATTTTTTCACTGCTAGGGAAGGTTTTCATGGCTTCTACTACAATGTTGTAACACCTGACATTGCCACTCATGAGGACTTCAACGTTGTTGCCTATGTTAAAGAAAAAGTCATAATTACCAAAAACGTAATTAAGTTTCTCCTTATTTATCAAACATGCATGCAAATGTGCGTCACATGAATGGCAAATGCACAGAGCATAGTGACTGAGGTTCCAGGTGCAAAAATCACATTCTATCAAATAGCTACAAAAATTCTATGCCATTCATTGTTAATACATCAAGATGCAGGACCATCTTTGGCACTGAAGGGAAATTATTTTAATCCAGTTCCTTGGCTTAAAATTGTAAGAAAAGGAAAGTAAAAATTTGGGGTTTTGTAGAAGTCTAAAAACAGCCATAAGTTTTGAATAAATGAACTCGGAAGGCTACTTCCTGACAAGGCCATGATGAGGCTCTTCTGTTGCGTCTTTTCTTCACCCAAGAAAAATCAAGATCACATCACATAATGGAACTGTTAAAATAGGCTTGGGTCTATTGCTTCCATCCCAAAGGAACAGCCAGTACAGAGAGGAGGCAGAAATCCTGTTCTTCCTGGAGGCTCCAAAGCAAAGAGAGGGAGGGAAAAGGGAACATCACAGAGGAATATCATGACAACCAGGTCCAGACATCAGCAGGAACGAGAGATCCCCGAAGGAAAACCAAGCTGTGAACCCATGTGGGGAGAACTTTACATTTCCAAATGTCATGCTGACTATTGACTAAAAAAGAGAAAAACATCTGTCTGAAAAGATCTTTTTCAGCGTAGCTAAAACTAAACAACTGTTCTCCAAAAAATATATTTTAATGTTTGAATTGCATTTTAAAACACTAAAATACTTGTCAAACTTGCAATAATGAAAGGAAACAGACTGTGAAAGTCTTTACTGTCGAATCTGTGTGGAAATTTCTGGATTTCCTTGCTGTTAAGCTGCTACATGCTTTGACCTTTGCATTATGAATCGACACATTTTAACTGGAGTTATGTCATACGTGGGAAGAAAACAATGAGCTTCAAAGGCAACGAGCCCCAAATAAATGAATAATGAATGAACAAAACCCAAGAAAAGTATAAGGAAGAATATATTCTGTCTGTTGGCAATGTGACTCAGAGCACTGTAAAGACCATTCTCCAATATTCTTATTCAGCCTCATCCACTTCCTACAGATAAGAAAATGCTGCTTCTTAAACATCCTAAAGAAAGACATTTTTCCCTAAGAGCATTTGTTTCTGACCCTGCTACAGTGAACTCTCACATCTATAGGCTGTTGTACCTGAAACCATATATGCATGTTATAAGTAACATATGACATACATAAAAAGTACATAGTAGGCAAGCACTCTGCCTCTCAGCTGTATCTTCAGTACTTTTTTATTTTTAAATTTTGAGACCCATTCTTGCTGAGTTGCCCAGGGTGGCCTTGAACTCCCTCTGAGGCCCAGTCAGGCCTTGAGCTCAGCCTACGAGCTGGAGCAGCAGCTGCCCACGCCCCCCTGCACACTCCACTCTGGCACCGAGGCCTCCTCTGAGGGATCTCGCCTTACTTGCTATTGCCTTGGGATATTTTCCACCATTGCCTCCCCAGCACTGAGCATAGAACCTGCCGCAGTACAGTCCAAATAAATATGAATGAGTTACAGGAATGAATAAGTTCAGCATCCACAGAACTCTAGAAAATTAAAATATTTTCAAACTACATTTAGAAAAGAGACGCACTGCAGCGTTTCACGAGTAGGAAACATACCACGCACACAGGGTACCTACACGGAATTGCCAGGGAGTGTAGGCAGTGCAGCACGTGCAACACGATTTCCTCTTCCTCCCTGAAACTGTTCAATGCTCTTAGCAATACCATATAATCTTTGTTCTCAACAAACTCAATCAGTTGTTCCTCGGAAACTAAAATATGAAGGGCAAAAAAATATTGAGTGAGTTTAAAAATAGCATTAAAATTCAGTTCCTGAAAAATATATTCATTAACTGTAGAAACATCAAAAATACAATATACTTAAACAAAAATGTGTTTTGCAAAAAAACAGGCCTTAGACTTTAAACAGACTATTGGCATTAAAACAGTTATCTTTATATCATCTTTGAAAATGAAAAAGCATTAGTAACAACAATTCCCAGGAAAACAAAACTATAATTTTTTTTTGTGAGGGTCTAGAGCAAACTAACCAGTAAAATAAAGGGACTTTTCTAAGAGACATTCTATGAGTCTGATCTATTAAAAAATGAATTTATTTTTGATACTTAAAACTCAGGGATTAATGGTAGATTTTTTTTTTTTTTTTTTTTTTTTTTTTTTTTTTTTGGTCTTTTTGAGACAGCGTCTCCCTGTAGCCCCAGCTGTCCTGGAACTCACTGTATAGACCACCAGGCTGGCCTTGAACTCACAGACATCCGCCTGCCTCTGCCTCCCAAAGTGCTGACATTAAAGGCGTGCGCCACCACGCCCAGCTAATGGTAGATTTTTAAAGCAAAGCTCAGTTCAAAGCATCATTTCAAAAATTGTGAATTGAAGCAAATGGCCAGACTTTGAAGTACTTTGTTTTAATGGCTCTTCATCAGAGACTAAAAATTGTCACTTAAGCCAGGGGTGGTGCTATGCCCCTTTAATCCCAGCCCTGGGGAGGCAGACTTCAGTAAATTCCAGGCCAGCCTGTCTGCAAGGTTCAAGCCAACCAGGGTTACCCAGCAAGACTCTGTCTTGAAAAACTTTTTTCATTTATTTCCATAATTAGAGAATTTTGGTGAAATAGGTGAGTTTCATTTGGAGATATTTTATTAAGTGAGAACCCCAGAAACCTTTAAAAATTCTGGGCCCTAGTTTTGAGAATGGTGCTGACACTGTAGTTCTCTTTGTGATCAGCCTTGATTGTTTTCAGTGCGTCCATTCAATGTGAAATTATCTTGATTAATGAGAGATGCCATGGAACGTTTCCATTTTATGGCACAGTTTCCACAATATCTTCTTAAATTTTGAAAATTAGCTTTATTACTCTCTGAGGGAACTTGATATTTCTGGAAAAATCAGAAATTGTTTTCTACTTGCATTTACAAATATATTCTAAGTATGATGTTTGGATTAAGATTCTCTTGTTTGACATTCCCTGATCTCTCCTGGCGTGGTGGCGCACCCCTTTGATCCCAGCACCCAGGAGGCAGAGGCAGGTAGATCTCTGAGTTCCTGGCCAGCTGGGACCATAGGAAGACCCTCTCTCAAAAAGACCAAAGAAAAAAAAAAGGTTCCCTTCCCTGATCTATGCCAAACAGCAGCACAGAAGAACATAGGCACCAAAAACAACAGAACCTCAAATGTTATCCAGCAAGTCTAGTTTTTAAATTTTATTTATTAGCAGTAGTATTTTTGTTTATTTGTCGGTTTGAGACAGGGTCTCCCTGTAGCTTCAGCTGGTCTAGAACTCCCTATGTAGATCAGTCTGCCTTGAACTCAACAGAGATCCACCTGCCTCTGCCCCCGAAGTGCTGGGATTAAAAGCGTGAACCACCACACCTGGCCCAAACAAAGAATTTTTTTTTTCTTTTTGGTCTTTTTGAGACAGGGTCTCTCTGTAACCCCAGCTGTCCTGGAACTCATTTATCAGTTTTATTGACAGTGCACTCATGTTCTATCTGCATGTATGTAAGTGCACCCATGTTATGCAATGCCCAGGGAGGACAGAGGAGGTCATCAGATCCCCTGGAATGAGAGTTACAGACAGTTATTAGCTGCCATGTGGGTTCTGGGATTCGAAGCCCGGTCTTCTGCAAGAACAGTCAGTGTTCTTAAGCACTGAGCCATCTCTCCAGCCCCCTATCCAGCAATTCTTATCAGAAGCTTAAGTGCAACATGTAACAGAGGCTGAAAGACGTGAAGTTTGGTCTCTACTCATTCGCTTCGAATTCATCTCCACCAAGACTGACCATCAAAGAGCTCAGTTCCAGGTTAATGCTGCTCTGGCTCCTGGAACCTGTACCCCTGAGGAAGTGTGTAAACTTTATTACCTCATCCAGGGAACCCATGAGAGGAGCTTTCCATGTCTTCTATCAGAAGCTGCTTCTGTGTAACAGTTTTACTTATATGTAAGAAACTTTGCAACCAATGAGGCATATCTTGCCTTTAACCAGGTAGGAAGCAAAGCATCAAATTCTAGCCTACCCCTTTGCAAAACTACAGAGCCTTAAATACATAGCAAACTTAATATCACTTCCTGTTTATTCATTTATCCATTTTCTAATCCATTGTTTCTCTTAAATGTATAACTACCTACAAGCTGTTGAATAAGACAGGAATTAAACAGTATCAGGTGTGCTGTCCCATTTCTGGGGCTGCCAGAAACTAGAGAAATAAATTAACCTGCTATTGACAAGCAGTCCTTCATGAATCATCCCTACCCAACCTTTCCTTGTGTTTTCACAGTGATGAAACAAGGACTCTCCCAAAACCAGTCCTGGCCACTGTGTGCTAACCAGCTGTTATCCTCGGGCTAGCAGCTCAGGTCTCTGGCCAGTTACTTCATCAAGCCAATGGAAGAACTGAACAAAGATTCCAACCAGCTCAAAATCTACATGATAATCTGCTATCAGATTTTGGGCCATGCTATGAAACACCTATCAATCTTTTTCCCTCAAGGAAGGCTTGTTATCTACAGGTTCTTAAACAGAGCCTTTAGCAAATCCAGAACTCTGCCAAGACTCAGAGCCATGACCCAGTTTCGACCTGTGCTTAACGTCACAGTTTCATTTTTTCTTCTTAACACCCATATAATCTGGTATGCAGAGTGAACTTTATGCCTTGTTCAACAATGGAAGAAAGTCTACTGTGCTCAGATGATTTATAACCTGACACTGAAATTCCTACCAAAGAAACAAATAACCCCCCTGTTTATCCTCAAAAGATAGGTCTCACTTATTTGTAAATAGTATGGTTTCAGGTACCTTTTTACCTTATCAATTACAGTGTGTTTTTCCCATATAGAGCATTTTCTCTATCTAGAATTATATATGGCCCTCCAAAATAAAGAATTTGCACTTCAAATACCTCTCTCAAACAGCACATGTAAAGCTTTGCATCCAAGTTTCTGAACTTCATCATTGGTTGAATACGTGTGCATGGCATCAAAAATTAACAAGAAGATATCACACTCTTCATCCAGGATCAGCAAAGTGATTTTGCCTAATTTGAAGAGAATAATACAGCCTAAATCAGCAGTTGCTTTAGCAGACTATCTATTCATTTCTACATGAAGGCTACATACACTTGTCCTTTATTTCTGATAGACCACACAGTTTTCCCAAATGTTAACCATATCAAGTTGGTCTAACCAATGAATCATCTCATTACCAGGTCCTTCAAGTCTTGACTCTTAAGTGTCTCCAAAACTGTCTTTGAATACGACCCCCACCATGCCTATCCTGTCTAGGACTTTATAATTCACACCCTGCTTTGTATTTCTAAAACATAATTGTGATCCTGGAAATCCCTTGTTGAATCTTCTATGGCCTTCTCCAATGCCCTAGTACAACAAAGAAGATTCTTCACTACACTGACCTGAGCCCCACATCCTTCCACACCAGATTCAATTCCAGATATGCTACCCCGTTTTTCCTCTAGTTCCCACTTAGACTTGCACTAACTGCCCTTTCAATGAACAACACATTCCTGCCATAAGGCAGGATGTAGCACAAATAGCCCATCCTGTCAACAGGAGTAGCCATCGTGGAAGAGAGATGGTGGTGGTAAATACATGGGTTTTTGCTGTGTGTGTGTGTGTGTGTGTGTGTGTGTGTGTGTGTGTGTGTGTGACTGAAGATTAAACCCAGAACCTCATTCATACTAAATACATGCTTTATCACTGAATTAAGCTCCTAGCCCAGTAGTAAACACTTTTGTAACATAAATGTATCAATCACTGGTTGAATTGCTTCCTTATAACACAATCATTACTACAACCTCATGAAAAAATGTTCCAACCTCACTTTAGAGATCAGAAAACTGAGACAGAGAAGCCCAATACCCAGCAGCTAATAAGAGTCAGAGCTAGACTAAAAGCTAAGCAGTCAGTCAAGTGTGGTGGTATATAATCCTAGAACTTGGGGGTGGAGGGACTGAGACAGGAAGACTGAGTTCCAAACCAACCTGGGCCACATGGACAGCTCAAGGCCAGTCTGCACTATGGAGTGCAATCCAGTCTCAAAAAATAAAATTATATTAAAACAACTTCAGGCAGCCCTGCACAAGTTTGTAACACCCACAAATGATGCAATTGCTCTCTCCTCTCTGGTCTTTCTTTATACCTCTATTATAGTTCTTTTTTCACCAAACATCACTATTACTGTCAATGTTTTAGCCTAGCTTCCTGGACATCCAATTTTCTAGCCACATATGTTTTAAACCATCTAAACATAGTTTATTTAAACTCAAACTTAATTAAATTAAAAGTTCAGTTTTTCCTATGTCAAATGTTCAACAGTTATGTATAGCTACCAGCAGTAATACTGGGCAACACACAGGATATTTCCACCACTGTGGAAACTTATACTGTAAGATAGTACAGAATTAAGGACTTCTATGTGCCTAGCCTGGCTTAGATTCCCCAGCAGCCAGGAAAAGAGTAAGTGCCCAGTAACAATCAAATCTACTAATTCATAGCCAGACAATAAAATTGATTCACAAGCCATACTCATAAAGTACATAAAATGAACTTTAAAACCAATTTAAAAATTCTTAAGGGCTAAAAGTTCTGAGTGATACACAGAACTAAATTAATCTTTTCAGAACACTTGTTGATTTTCCTAGCTGTCTGCATGCTGCTGACTTATAGGTATTCCAGAGTTGGGAGGAGGAGTATTTTCAAAAAGATAAGCCGTGATCTTTGTAGCCATTGACCAATGAAATTAAACCAAGAAAAAAATGTTGGTTCCCAATGACGATGGTTCAGCTGATAAATCATGGTTAAAACCAATTGGTACATGACGTTCAAACACTTTAATAAAAGGCTGCAGGAACATGCAAGGCTCTTCACAGCTGGCCTGTGGCATCTTTCTTACTCTGGTCCTCCCTCTTTCTTCTTCCTCCTGAGGGTCTTCATTATAGGACCAATGAGGACACTGCCATCTCCCACTCACCTGTCCAGCATCCCAGCAAACTTCTCTTGACCCTAAATACCCTCCCCTACATTGAGCAAAACTCCCAGTCATTCAAGATGAGGTCTTCTTGAACCTAACACCAGCACAGCAATGACCACAACTATTACACCATCTCAGGAATCCTGTATTATCCTCTAGGCAAAGAATCTGAGGTGTGGCATCAGACCCTGATGTGAACACTTGGTGACTAAGGCCATCTGCCTGTGCGTTAGTGTTTCTCATCCAGAAAGATAAGGAAAATGCCTATCTAGGTGAAGTAAGATTTAAAAGTATTTTACATGTGAAGCCAGCATCCAGCAAGCACTCAAGAAGGGATGCTATACGCTTCCTCAAGCACATATTATAGAAAGGTACATGAAAAGTACATGTATATGAAAGGCACATGAAAGGGATATACAGAGAAAGATGTAGCAATAACAAACATGTCAGTGGTCGCCAGGCTAGTGGGAATGTAAAATACGGAGCAGATTTTGTAAGCCATGCTGGCACTAGAAATAGAGGTACAAAAATAATACACACCACATTGTTTAAAACCAAGGTGCTAGGTGTGATTTGAGAGACAACTAGCCAAACAGAACGAACAGAGATGACAGAAACACAAGGAAGTTTAGGAAAGCGCTGCTATTTAGTTTACATGGTGATCCTAGCAAACTATAAATGTTGAACTCTTTTAGTTAGCACTTACCTGAATTTAGGAGGAGATCTAGGGCCTTCAGTCCAACTGTTGACAGGTTTACATTGGCATGATGAACAGTTAGCATTTTAAGAATCAGTCTGAAGTTAAAAACAAAATCATATAAAATGAGAGGTCATAGGGCCAGGGAGATAGCCCAGGGGGTAAAGCGCTTGCTACCAAGCCTGACAACCTGAGTTTGATCACAGGACCCACAAGATGGTAAGAGAACTCCCAAAAGTTGTATTCTTTCATCCGGATGTGTGCCACGGCAAGCGTGCTCCCCAACACTATTTAATGTAAGTTTTTTAGACAGGGTCTCACTATGTAACTGTCCTGGAATTCTCTATGTAGATCAGACTGGCCTTGAACTCACAAAGATTTACCTGCCTCTGTCTCCTGGGTGCTGGGTTGAAGGAATACACCACCATGCCAAGCTAAATGTAATTTTTCTTTTGATTAGAGTCTCCCTGTAGCCCCAGCTGGCCTAGAACTTGCTATGTAGACCAGGCTGGCTTCAGTCTCACAGAGATCCACCTGCCTCTGCCTCCTGAGTGCTGGGATCAAAGGTGTGCATCACTACACCTGGCTTAAATGTGATTTTTTAAAATGAAAATGTAGACTCAGAGATTCTATAAAACATCATTTAGATACTGTTTTTCACTCACCTATATTTTTATTATATTATTCTCTCCTTAGCAAAGCTCATGTGGTTTTTTTTAATTCATATAAATGTGAACCAGAGTTATAAAATTAACAGGCAGGCTTGGGGTGTAGCTCAGTGGCAGAGTGCTTGCCTAGCATGCCCAAGGTCCCAGGTTTGCTATCCAGCACAAATAAATAAATAAATAAATAAATAAATAAATGAAATAACAAGAAATGATGATTGCTTAATGCGACAAATGCTTTACATGATTAGTATTCCAAACTGTCAAGTTTCATACACCAAATCATGCAATTTCCAATTGCCAATCGTATCTCAGTGCAGTTAAAGGAAAACAAAAGGGAAAACAAAACACTTGGTCTCGGGGTGTGGCTCAGTGGTAGAACACTAGCCTAGTGTAGAAAGACCTTTGGATTGAGTCACAACACTGAGAAAAATAGACTTCAGAAGAAAATATTATCCTAAGTCTCAATGGAAAAGTTACAAGTCCTGCCTACATTCCTCTAAACATATCCATTTAGTTATTAACTGTTTTTACCTAGCTCCAGATACAAAACACCACAGTAATTGTCCACATCCAGAGGTGATACCCTGGTCATATGATACAGATTTATAAATTATATTTCAAATATGTTAATCCATTAACATACAAGAAGATCAAATAAAGGTGTTACTCTATAGGTACACCTTAAGGGTCCATTTCAATATTGAAATTATTGATTGCTAAGCTTGAAGGAGAAAGTAATATTCGACACTAGATAACGGACCTCATCTATCAATAGTAGCAGATCTCAAATTCACTGGATTTTAATCTCCATGTTGTCAGTTCCAAAATGAAATCTTCAGCCTTTTCCCGCCTGGTGTTATTAGCTTTAAAACATTGGCAGAAGACAGAGTTGATGCCATCCACAGCCTCTTCCAGATTCAAGAAACTTGTCATCTGACCTCCAGGGGCAAGGTGATGAGCTTTTGACTTCCCATCACCTGCCCTCCTGACCACTCTGGCTTCTCACTACTCCTCACATTACCACTACAGAAGAGAGTTCTTCTTTGGTATTAGTAAATCTTTGACAAGAAAAGGTTGGCAATGGGGAAATGTTTTGCAATAATTTCTTTCCCAGAACGCTCTACTGTAAAGAGCGGCATGTCTACCTTGGTCAAAGGCATAGTTCTTCTGACTTACAGCAGGAGCACAGAGCACAAATGGAATGCTAAGAAATGAACCTAGTGGGTTAGCAATATTCATGAATATATGCATGGTGCTTCCAGTAGGAACAGCTCCATCATTTACCTGCAGCAGCTGGTTTGTTCCAGAATATGACTAGACTAGTTTTTTCAGCATGCTCTGAGATTGTTGATTAACTAAACTTTGGGGAGTCTTGGAAATTCTTAAACAAACCAAAGGAAAATTAAAGTTATAATTATCATTTATAAGTACACATTGGGAAATTCCCCCGTAAATGCTACAGAACTGACTCATAGATTTTCAAAAACTGGTTTGAAAATGATGCTTTCTTAAACATACCCCTGAGATGGTGGAAACTAAAGACCAGCAACACATATTTATTAAAAATGGAAACGTATGTAAGCACTAAGTTTGAGAGGGCATAACAAAATCATTAACTGCATGAAGGTCTGTACTCAGGTCCTGGTTTTCATATATCTAAAACACTCAGCTAAGAAAGAGCATAGCTCTAATCTAATCCATCTAAATTTACATCTATAATTGACACTAAAATTGACAGTATAAAATTTAGTTTTTCGTAAATATTTTTCTCAAGCAAATTACCACAGGAAGCAGAATATCTTCATATTGTTTCTTGGTAGTAAAGTGACTCTTGGTACAGAGAGAACTTTATAACAAAAGATACTTTTCTAAATGTCGAGAAACTAAGTTTAAAAGAAAGGATTTTCCTGGTGGCTCACAATCACCTGGAATTCTAGTTCCAAAGGATCCAATACCCTCTTCTGGCCTCTGCAGGCTCCTGCATGCACATTTATACAGGCTTGCCCACATACACATAAATAAATATAAATAAATCCTTTGGAAAAAAATTATTTTCCTAGAAATACATTTTTTTCTTTAGAAAATCCTTATCTAATTATGGCTAAGAAAGTGGTCTTTAAAGTCATAATGATGAATACTGCAAAACATGGCTGGTAAAGAAATAATCAAAATTAACTACAGCAGTGTTGATTCTTCCTCCTCCTCCTCCCCCCCTCCTCTTCTTCTTCTTCTTGAAAGCCATAGTTTAAATTTACTGAAACATGCTTGAATACATGTAAATGCTCTACTTAAAGACAGTAAGGCACAGCTTTTTTAAATTAGTACTCATAGAACTAACTTGTTAGCTCCCATTTTTAAGGAGTAATGGATTATATCAGTTCTACTATTAATAGTAGAATGCTCTTCCTGGTTTGTTCTAAGTAATACTCAATAATCTACAACTTAACCACTTATATAATTGTAGAATTATATTACTAAAATAATCTCACCTGCCATTTTACCATCAATTTTAATTTTCTAACTCAAACATCTACATTTAAAGATCTCTAGAAATGTAAATCATTGATTTAAGGAAAAGTTGGATCTGAAGGATTTTGCCAGAATGGTTTTGAATTACAAGGGTTATCATATATTTTTTCAATGCGATTTATTCACATGTCTGTCATACTTACTGGTGGACACCAAGAACTTCCCAATCATTTCCAACATCCTGGGGTCCCATTAAGCTTTGCATTGTCCCTGGACAGACTTCTATTAATTTGCATAGAAGTGACCAACCCACCTAAAAGCAAGAAAAGCAAATATTCACTTTTTTTAGTAGGTTCTCATGTATCCCAGGCTGGCCTTGAACTTACTTTGTAGTTTAAGATGACCTTGAGCTTCTGACCCTACTTCCTCTACCCCAAACCCTGGGATTTCAAGCACGTGACACCATACCACTTTACATGGTGCTGAGTCCCAAACCCTGTGCTCCATGTGGACTCACTGAACTACATCCCCAGCTCCATTTTCACATGTTTCAAAGCTGCTAATCTACATAGCCAAACATGAATCTTTTTGTCCTTAGTGGGACAGTGCTCATATTATTTTTAAATATTTACTTTAAGTTAGGAAAATACTTGTTGAGAAATGAAAGCAAAACATATACTTAGACATATTACTGCACATTACTTCAAAAGTCATACATACCCAAAGGGAACTCAAAGATATTATGGAATTTCTGATCTACATGAAAAAAACTAAAAACCAGTTTTAGAGGACATACTAAAATTATGAAGTACCATACTCACATCTTAGTACTTTTTAAAGAACTAACTACCTGACAGAATTTTTTAAGAATTCAGAATTTTAATTATAGAAAAAAAAATGACATGACTTGTAATGAAGAATTAGGGATGCTGAGGATTTTAGTGGCAAAGGGCATCCTGTCAGAAAACAACTACTCCTCTGGCAATAGTGGCAAATGTAATGCCATTGTGCCATGACTGGACCTGCACCTGTTTCTGGAAAGACAACGCACTCTGTAATAGAGGGGGCAGAATTCCTAGTGGTTCCGTTACATTCCCATCAATGATTACAAATTGATATGGTCTAGTGACCACAAATGCCTGGGGACTCTCACATTTCCACAGGAAATATAAGCTTATTGATGCATTTTTAATACTTTTGCTCAGTCTATTATACACATTGCCAGCCTCAATAAATTGTTGTTTACCTCTGAGGAAAAAAAAAAAAAAAACAGGTCTAGATTTTGACCTAGAGAGTAACTCACTCTTCCAGCTCCCTGTTCCTCTATAACTCTGAAGCATCTTCAAGTCTTTCTAGGGCATCAAAGATACACTTGATAAGGTTAGGAAAGAAAACACAAAATGTATGTGTAGCATCTACAGCTAATGAAACAGTGCCTGAGCATGATTTGTGATAAATACCAAAGTAATACGAGCCCTGGAAGGAAGGCTCATCCTGAGAGAATTACTGGAAGAAAGGCAGAGTGTGGGGGCGCTAAGACTCCAGCCACATTCTGAGCCGCCAGCTTGCGGAAAGACAAGGCAGGAAATATCTATGCATTTGATGAGGAGCAGTGGCACACACCTGAGTGACTGCAGGTGCTAATAAGAGACACCCCACAAGGACAAAATGTGTGAGCCGTAACAACAATGCTCACGCCAAGATCTCTTTACTGCATCGTTTTCAGATTAAGCATGAATTACTTTACTTTGCCAGTATCTCCCTTTAAATAATCTCAGATTGCTTTTAAAAACAGCATTCTCAGGGGCTGGAGAGATGGCTCAGAGGTTAAGAACACTGCAGAAGACCTGGGTTTAAACCCAGCACCCACATGGCAGCTTACAACTGTTCATAACTCCAGTTCAGGGGCTCCCGACAGCCTCTTCTGTCTTCCCTGGGCATTGCACGACACGGGCGCACTTGCCTACATGCAGGCAATACATTCATGCACATAAAATAAAAATAATAAATATAATATTTTAAAAAACAGCATTCTCTAACTGACTTTTACCTCTATTTAAGTAGGACAGCCTCCCCCACATAAATAGAACAGACGTTGGCAACCCAATCGTCATAGAAACCAACTAATTTTCAGCTTTAAGAAACTACATGGAGACTTTTCCCCCAGGCATTCCGGAAAGCAGCACTGTGAAGAACTTCTAGTGAGGAAACATTCTGCAGGATGCTAAACTCACATCTGTACCCGAAAGTCTGCCTCAAGGGGAAAACCTGCTTTGTTCGGGTTGCTAAAGCTACAGCGTCAATCACTGCTCTGCAGAAAGATTCAGGCAGCTGAGCCTGCAGTCAGTGCATGGAGCATCTAAGACTTAGTAAAATCTGCAATAAGGCAGGAGATAACTACTGGTGCATTAACCCTTCAACTAGGAGCTTATCTTTCAAAGAACGTCCTTACTCTGAGCAGTTGTGATGCAATTAAATTGGCAGTTTTTCTCTGTTAATTGTTCTCGATTTTTAAAATATTTTATTTATTATTTTTATTTATTTTATGTGTACGAGTGTATTGCCTGCATATATGTAAGTGTACCAGTGTTGTGCAATGCCCCTGGAGGTCAGAAGAGGGCATCAGATTTCCCTGTAACTGGAATTATAGATGGTTGTTAGCTGCAATGTAGGTGCTATTTTTATTTTATGTGTATGAGTGTATTGCCTGCGTGTATGTGAGTGCACCCATGTTGTGCAATGCCACGGAGGTCAGAAGAGGGCTTCGGATTCCCCTGGAACTGGAGTTAAGGACGGTTCATAGCCGCCATGTGAGTGCTGGGAATTGAACCTGAGTCCTCTGCAAGAGCAGTCAGTGTTCTTAACCGCTGAGCCATCTCTCCAGCCCTAATTGTTCTATAAATTTAAGCATCTCATTAATTCAAATAGATAAGCGTCGGGAGGTTAAAGAGTATGTAAGCCACTTTCATTATTTCATTCTCCATTTCCACAGGTTGAAATTACTCGGATAAAGAGAAAACGACTGGCATGAAGCGAAAAGAACAGGACAGGCTTTCTCCCTACAATCGGCATTACACAAAAGTATTGACAAGATAAAAAAAAGACCATGCAAATAAAAAGGCAGAGTTTGGAATATCCTGCTAAATAACAATGAACCTTAACATATATTTCTGAGGAATGGCTCACCCTAACTCCTTATATCCATCAAGAGTTCCCATTTGGCCTTCCAGCTAATCAGATGCACAAAACATTAAAGATATCTATGCAAACTCAACCAATTACATGAAGAAATTTAAAAGAAAAAAACTGCTTTTAAGTAGAGCATCAAAATCTCTGTAGACAGGACATCATTTTCCACATCCCTTTGGTAAGACCAACACTAACGGCCAGGCCTTTGCACTGACACAGCCGTAGTATTGGTGCCAAACCATGGGACTTTGCTTGCTTATGCAAAATCCCACAAATTCAGCAGCTAGCTGACGGAAATCTGGAAGACACCAGTAGACCTGAGTCCTGGCTCCCTTACGAGCTCCTCCAGGGGCTATGTCCTCTTACTAAAGCACTATGAAGGTATGGAATCAGTAAGCTTTCTGAAAAGATGGTAGAACTCCAGTGAGAATGAACTAATGTAATCTACATAAAGCCCTTTGCCTGAGCACGCAGACACACACGCAATATTGAAAGCAATAATTCTATTCAAACTAAATTACCACACCAACGACCTTCCTTTCCAACCTTCTTTGCCTCTGGTCCCCTCTAGGACCATTACAGACCAGTGTGCCCACATTTGAGCAATTTCTAAAATGCAGAATTAGGATGTCTGGGCTGAGTATATGGTACAATGGTAGAGTGCTTGTCTAGCACATACAAAGCCCTGAGTTTAATTCCCAGCACCAGCATGACGAAAAGGAAGAAGAAAATGAGGAGGAGGAAGAGGAAAAGTGGGGGGGGGGGGAGGAGAGGGTTTGAGGATATGGTCCAGTAGTAAAATAACTGGTTAGCAATATGCAAAGTCTGAGATTATGACCCTCAGCACAAAGGACGGGGGTGGGCAAATGTTAGTAATGCTGTGTTCCAGGGTCCCTTGGGTTCTCAAATCTGCCACAACTTCTGGGCTCTGTACACCAAAGTGTACCCCGGGGCCATTTTTCCTCAGTGGTGCCAAGCAGAGGCAACTCTGTCAAGAAACGAGCTTGACAGTGGAGGCAGACAGAATTGGACACTTCTGAATAGAAACAGCTGAGAAAGATGAAGTGGGTGGACAGCAGCAAGCACCTTAAAAATGACTCAGGTTCCATGGGCAAAGCTCAAACTTTGAATACTATAAAGAATGGTATCTTTCTCCTGATGCTGTCTGACAGTAACCTAAAAATCAATAGTCAAATGGAAAATACTTCACAGGAAAATAAAAATATTGCAGATATAACTATGTGCTTATGAAAGAAACTAGAGTCGCGTATGGTGGCATACATCTACATGCCTAGCACTGGGGAGCCAGAGGGAGGAAGAAGGCAAATTCTGCACCATTCAGGGCTACTTAATGAGAACCCTAGAGAAAAGGGGTGGGGGAGGGGAAGGGGGAGGAGGCAGCTAGATACAAGGTTCCATCAGGCTAGATAGAGTTAAACGCTGAGAATGAAGACACCAACTTAAGAGGAGATAAGGCTTTCACCTGTCTAGCCCCTAGGATAAACAATAGGAACTTTCTCACTGCACCCCACAGAGTTCAGGCCCAGTCCTCATCCCCTACATGACTTAGCTGATGACAAAACTGATTTCAATTCCTCAAATCACAAAACACTCCAAAGGATGGTATCACCTTTGGTAATGTGTTTGTCTTGACTCTAAATCATTCT